ACAATCTTTGTCAGAGTTTAGATATTGAAACATCTGTAGATATGCACGTTTCAGTGACTTTTTACTATACTTATAATACTGTAGAATCATAGACGATACTTATAATACGAAAGTCTCACTTACTTAAGTAGTGTACAACATTATCTAAATCAATAATTAACATTAATTCTCTCTGGAAACATAGGACAAGAGATGATGAATCAAAATCAAATGAGCATCTCCATTCTTACATGTACATGCCAATGCAGTTCCTTTGATGCTGAGGAGTGCCACTGCAACGAATAACATCGAGGAAAGTGTTTTCATCACATGGAATCCATAGTCTTGATGAGTCAGAAGCGAAATCGTAAGCATCTTGAGCTTGATCAAGCAATGCCTTGAAGATTGGATGTTTAAGCAAACTCATCTTTATCACAAACCTCTTGTAATCATCACCCACATACACTACCAAATGTCCTCTTGGAACATCTTTAGGTATGGCTTCATTTTCTTTCTTGAATCCCCAAGAAACCTTCTCGCAGCAACTCTCACAAGAAGATGATGTACAACATGGTATGACTATGGATTTGCTTTTAATGGTTTTCAGTTTGTTTTCACAGGCTTTTATGAACTTGTTCTTCATTTTGAGAATATTATAGAAGGAGAGGTCAAACTAAGAAAGATGAATAACGATAGAGATGGTTTTGTGATGACAAGTACAATGGTGAAGGACAAGTGTATATATAGATGATTGATTATTGAAGCGCTAGATAGAAAGAATCTGAAGTCCATGGTGACATTAAATGTAATGTTTTTGATATGAGATGGGCAAGTTTTTTTTCTTCTATATGATAAGATACATCACGAGCGGCTTTAAATTATGATAATTGTTTACCATTTTTGTATCACTCGTGCGGTTCCGTTATTTTCCTCATCAAACTGAAAACTGTACGAACATGCACTACATTATTACAATTGCAATTAAGAAATGTTATTGTTTTCTAAGTTGTAACTGAATTGCATGGGGGCTAAAACTTGCAAGACCCCACAAAAGAAAGAATAGAGAGAGAAGATAAGAGATATGAAGAAGAGGGATGGGTTTAAAATTTCTTGGGCAAAGCGTGATCCCAAATTAATGATTCATGGATTGTCTTCACTAGAAAGATATTATAGAAGATCTGATCTAGGCTCTAGTTTAAGTGAGTTCTTGAACTAGCTAAATCATTTGTATTGTAAAAATCCAATATTCATTTGATAAAATCTCAAATGGTGATCAGCATCAGAAGATTGATTATGATCAGTCTTATCTAATGGCTCTAACTTCTATGAATTGGATCTGTGATAGTATATGTAGGTCTGTTTTTTTTTCTAGGTAATCGGGTAAAACGGTTATTATGCATGGATTGCAAGTGTAGATTAATAAAGAAGTGTCAATTTTTGCAGGGTCCAGTATGATTGGGAAACAGAACAGAGCAGAGCAATTTATTCATGAGGATTCAGATTCATCCCCCCTAACAGATGAGTAAGGGAAGAGCAATCATTCTTTCTTACACATTACTTTTGCAGATGAACTTATGGTTTGCTCTTTTTATAGGGGTGTCAACAAGGACTAACTATGAAGTTATGAATGTTTTACGTAGAAAAAAAGAGAGTTTAGAGCTGGTTTTAGTTCAAACGTACTCGGATTTTTGAAAAGTGATTTATTTGGTTTCAGAACTTATTTACTTTTTTGTCAACAACACGCAATACATTAATCCAGTTACTGACACACCAATACAAGTATACCACTAATACAAACCATTACGCTATTTTTCGTGGTTATATGGTTTTAGGTTTGAACTTATAAACTACTTCCAGTACTTTATCATGATTTTAGTACTTATAAACTTATCTCTTTTTTTTTTGTCAACTATCATTTCTTGTTTCTAAATTATTTTTCCTAGCTTTTCATGATTTTTTTTTTAAAAGATTTGGAATAAAAATAAACCAGCCTTTGGACCAGACCGAAGTGATATATCATTAGACCCGGGACGGGTCAAGCTGGTTTGAGATAAGAGTGAGGGCCATTCTAAACTAAACTAGGCTGGCTTCCTCTGCATGAGATTTAGTGTGGGAACGTGACTACGTGAGGCTGTTTTTTTTTTTTTTTTTTGAACCTTAACGTGAGTCTGTATGATATAATATATTACCTGTCTTTTGAGTCTCATAAGAAATAACTCATTTCATGACCAGAAATTATTTAGAAACCTAAATGGAATATAAAATATTGATGGAGATATGAATTTTATAGCCGTTAAGATTAGTCTTTTTCTTGATGTACGTCAAACATTAATAAATGAAATTTGGATTTTTTTTTGTTTTGTACTGATAAAAACCGTAGGTGCTGCTAAGTATGTGAATAATTTGTTGAGTAATTATCTTTCTCTTGAATGATGTCTTGAATAGAATATAGTTTTATAGTAAGAATTTGTGTTCTTACATGTAAAACATTAAACATGTATAGTATTTTGAGTAGATGATATGATCAAATATTCATGCTGAATATATCTAATGTACATATATCATATGCTCTGCATGCGATCACGACTCAAACTCGATAAAGTTAATTAGAAACAAGAAAAAAACTCTTTATAGTTAAATCTTTTTCTTGCGGATCAAAACCATTTTGACTTCTCATTATTTTTTTTGGGGGAAAAAGGGCCAAAGATCATAGATGTCATGAGGGAGCCATACCTTCTTACAACACAATTATTTGATTTGACTTTCCCATGTGGTCTTTCCACAGTTACTAGCTGTCATTCTTTTTCCCGTTTCCTCCTATTATTAATTCCTCACTCTTGAATACCGAAAACTGAGCAGTTCGTTTTTGTATAAGAAATTAAGATGCCATGATCCAAAAATAGCTAAATAATAATCATTTTTCTCAATGTTTGAGCTATAAACACTGGAACATTTAGGTTTGAAATTTGACAAGGAGAACAGGATATTTTTTAATAGATAAAATTGGACTAAAAAGGTCTAGAGCTTCGGTAAGTTCGGTCAAATTCCTCTTTTTTTTTCACCTCTTCAAATATAGAAGAAAACACATCTTTTGAGCTTGAAATCCGAATACAATAAATTCCACTGGTAATCATTTAGCAATGATGTTGTAGAGTAGATTCTGTGGTGAGGCAATTAGATGAAAAGCCTCTTCTGAAAACTTTAATTTTTCGCATAACATGCCTTCATAAATCATTTAGTAGCTATGGCTTAAAAAAATTATAGATAGTCATAAACTTATATGAATAAACTTACAGCATCTCCAATATATTCCCCCATTTTTATTTCCAAAATGGGGAAACTGCAAAATAGAGTTGGATTTCTCTCCAATGTATTCCTCCATTTTCAACTCCAAAAAGAATATTTTGAGTATATTCTTTCTTTTTATTTATTGTTAATTACTAATAATGCACTCTATTTATAAAAATTACAAATGAATCCATTTATTTTTTTCTCTTAAAACTTTCATAAATTATAATATTATTCTAAATTCAACCACTATAATATAAAAATAACATTACACACCACTCAATCTGGTTCATTTGAACAATATTTTAATGATCTTGGTGGATCTGGAATCAGTTTACCCGATTTTTATTAATCAGTTGTTGTAATAAATTTATTTTATGTTATTTGTAATTTCAGTACTTCTTATGTATTTTTGATTTTATATTATTTCTAGTTTCAGTTAATTTTCTTATATTTTTTTATTTTCTATTCTCAAATTTTAAATCTATCTATCTTTAATTTTAAATTAAATATATATAATATAAAGGATTAAATTATAATTTAAAAATATAGTTTTAAGAATTAATGAAAAGTAAAGGAATATCTTGTAAATAAAAAAGTTCACCTGCAAAATGGAGTTGAAAATGGGGTTACTCCATATTTGGAGGAAAAAATTGCATTCTTCTATTTTGCAGATAAAAATGGGGTAGGGTTGGAGAAGAATTTCATCCAAAATGGCATTTGAATGAAAAAATGGGGTAGAGTTGGAGATAGTTTTACCGAAATTTACTTTTGTTAGCACATTTGCTTTTGTAAGTTGACATAAACTTGATTGTAATACCACTATTAAATGAGTGCTTTGGTGGCCAATGTTCATCACATTTTCTTGTAGAAGTTATTAGACATTATTAAGTAATTTTCAGAAACTCCACAAATGTTTGGAAAATCTCACAATTTTAACAAAAACTTCCACACGGTTTCAGAAATTTCATTTATTTCTTTCTGGAAAATTTTAATATTGCTGTCTAAAGTATATGCTGTTTCAAACATATTTTCAGCCATATATTGATTTTTTTTGCAGTAATATTGTGAACATGCTTCTGGCCACTGCTCTACTACTATTGATCAAATTATGCTTAAGAAAACTATGTTGTAATACTAGAACCATATTCACATTCTAAATGATTTTTTAAAATTAAATATCATACAACATTCCATTCTCCAACCAACTATTTAAGTCTCGCCCATGCTTCATTTTGGGAGGCACTAGGCAGTACCCACATTCTTCTCATGCTTTTTTATATTTTTCTTTTTTTGTCCTAAATATTTTCATACTATTTTTTTTAAGGATACATACGTTGAACTCTCTAGTCGAATATATATCGAGAGTTTTAGAGAATCAATAAACAATTTACACATTGAGTTTGAGAAATTCTAGAGATGTCCTATAATATATCCCTATATTCCTATTCTCTCGATTTAATTCAATTTTTGTATACACTCGAACGCAAATATGTGTTGAAAACAATCAGATATCTCGTGTTTGATTTAATATGATATAGCTCTTCTTTGACAAAAAAAAACCTTGTAATTATTTTTCTTATTATATAGGTTTAAAGCTTGTTTTCAAATACTTATCAAAAATTTGTGCAGAAAAACATTACATGAAAAATGTTATGGTATTGCTTTCAATAAAAGATCTTTGAAAGAAATGTTAAACTCATGGAAAGTATTTTGAGATGGAGACATTCAACAATAAGATTGGATAATTAATCAAATATTGCAAGAAATTTACTTCTGGTTTTCATTATCCTCGAAACCTATCTCAGATAACTCCGAGTACATCTTTTAGACGATCGATAAAAGCATCAACAAGGCGAAACCATGCTCGACGCCAAGGAGAATCAAAGCACATGAAGACAGAAAAACCCATCAAAATCGTTACATAGGTCGCACCCACGCTCCACCACAAGACCACCGTTTCGAGTCTTTCATCTTCTTCTACGTCTTCTTCTTCTTCTTCTTCTTCCTCTTCTTGTCCTGAGCTCATAGTAGTACCACAGCTTCTGTTGGTGGGTGATCCACAAAGAAGAAGATTACCCAAGTAACTTTTCTCACTAAAAGTGTTGAACTGTTTACCTTGCGGAATCACACCTGAGAGATTGTTGTAAGACACGTTAAATACGACAAGAGACTGCAGCATTGTGAGTTGTGACGGAATGGTTCCATGTAGCTTGTTAAAAGAAAGATCCAAGCTTTCTATGCTTTTCAGTTTGGAGAAGCTTCCGGGGATGAAACCAGATAATGAATTCCGCGAGAGGTTCAACGAACGTACTCTCTTGAGATCTCCTAACTCTTCCGGGATTTCACCGCTTAACTCATTGCTCGACAGATCAAGGCCAAACATCTGGTCAAGAGTTCCTCTCATGTATGAGTCATATCTCTGTTTCACAGCAAACTCGACTTGGACTTTGAAATCTACTGAGTAGTCTAGAGCAAACCGGTCTGACACAAGTACAGACTCGTAATATGCTTCGGTGTATATATCCATCTCGTATGAGAACATGTTCGGCGGGTACCAAGCTGGATCAGCATGACCATCTCCTCCCAAACCAAACGATAGATTAGTGAGACACGAAGGTATGGACTCATTCAATCTGTTGTGAGCAAAATCCAACATTCTTACGTTGCTTAAACCGCATAGCTCGTCTGGAATCTTTCCCGTCAAGTTATTCCCTCTCAACAGAATAACATCGATGCTCGGGGTGCTCCTGAACCGAGGGATGTTTCCAGACAGTCGGTTGTTTCTCAGATCAAGCAAAACCATTCCTTTCCACAACGTGTCTGGAATAGTTCCAGTGAGATTGTTGCTGTGCAAGTCCAATATATAGCCGTACTCCGAGTCCGAGCGCCGAGGTAAGTTCCCCGACAAGAAGTTTCCAGAAAGGTCCAATAACCAGAGGTACGGCATGTTGAACAGAGAAGGTGGAATCTCACCTTGTAAACGGTTATTTGAGATCCTCAGAACGTCTAAGAAGAAGTTGCCTAACCATCTTGGAATCGTACCCGTGAGGAAGTTGTTGGATAAGTCTATCACCGTCAAGAGCCTTAAGCTGCGTAGATTGTCCGTGATCTTCCCAGTGAACATGTTACTGTCCATGATCAAAGTCATTAACGAGGTCTCCTCGCTCGACTTTCGAATAATTGGACCGCTGAATCTGTTGTGAGAGATCTTCAGCCATTTCAGTGAGTAGCAACCCGTGAATAGGTTTCGTGGCAATTTCCCTGAGAAGTTGTTATATGATAGGTCCATAAACTCGATATCTTCCATTCTGGCCACAGAGGAGGGCATGTTCCCATGAAACTCGTTGTTTGAGAGATTCAAATGTCTCAACCAAGGAAGTATCAAACCGACATCTTTGGGGAGTTGATCGTTTAAGTTATTAGCTGAAAGATCAAGAAATTGCAACATGTGCAGTCTTGGAAGTGTAAGGGTGTTGAATGAATTGTTCTGCAACAACAGAACCTGAAGCTCTGTATTATTCTCCAGCAGCCAAGTGGGGAACACTCCGGATAGCGTATTGCTCGATAGATCGAGTACCCGCATTTCCTTCTGATACCAGAGAAAACCGGGGACTTTCCCCAGGTTGCAGTTTGCCAATGTGAGACTCCTTAGCTGCGATTTCAGGCCAGTGGAACCATTAGTCTCTACTACTTTCAGCATACTAGACCTGGAAGAGAGCTTGAAAACCTTGAGCTCTGTCAATTTAGCGATCAAATCCAACGAGAACAACCCTTCGAAGTTGTTATCGTGTAGCGATAAGTACTCCATGGATTTTAAGTTGCTGATGAAAGATGGAAGCTTCCCACTAAGGTGATTCGATGATAGATCAAGAACTCGGAGTTTGGAGAAGCTCGATAAACAGAGAGGGAATTCACCCACAAATCTATTTTTACTAAGCCGAAGCTCTTGCAACTGCTCTAATCTGCAAATTCCTGAAGTGATGGGTGCACAGAGAAACATCAAGGCATATTAATACACTAAAAGCTGAGACAAGTTTTCTACTAAAAAAGAAAGGAGCATATCTCACTACTTGCCTTGCATTTGCAGTGAACCAGAGAATTGGTTCTCACTTAGATCCAAAGCTTTGAGCTTTTGCAGATTGGTGAGCTCTGCCACGAAGCAAAATATGCAAGATGACCCCATTAAGTGCAGGAATAGAATTACTATCCAGGAACATAGCGTATCAAGATCAAAATGGAGACACTAAAAGTGCCAAAAACATGTAGATTGTGTTACAAGATCGAATCGATCAGACCATATAGTGTTTATGGAGGATCATAGTAAGATAAATTACCTTTTCCTGGTAAGTGGCCGCTGATATTGTTGAGTTTAAGATCTAGTACTTCCAAACTTCTCAGATTAACCAGTTCTGCGCCAAAAGTAAGAGATATCAGAAACAAAATGGAAGATGATTTTCAGGGTCAATAGTATCAGTGAAGATTAACTTAACCGTTCACAGGAAAGCCACTCTTAATAAAGTTGCCACCAAGAATCAACTTCTTGAGCGACGGAGCCTCATTCAAGAATGGAAAGACACTGCTGTTGAAAAAATTGTAACTGAGATCCATAATCTCAAGGTGTCTGAATCTTGCAAGGCTCTTATAACCTGTAGAAACAACAAGAACCTCTACACTATTATAATTGAGGAGCAATTGGCACAACAAGAAAGAATGAATAGCTATACACAGACCTTGTCTTTCGTCGAACAAGCCTCCCAAGCTGCTCAGCGACAAGTTAAGACTCTGAAGCTCCTCAAACGGATACAACAAGGTTAGGTTCATTAGAGGAGGATAATCGGAATTATAACCTAAGGGATATAAGAATCCAAGGGAGAGTCCGGTAACGCGTTTGTTGTTGAGATCGCATTTGATTCTTCTCCAAGCGCAACAAGAGCGATTACTAGTCTTCCTCCATCCTCGAAGAATATCAGGCTGAAGATCATCACTGAAGGAAAGCAAATAGTCTTTGAGGTCAAAAAGACCCCGCCTTTCACTTTCGGTGCAGCTTCTACATCCCTGCATCATCATCATTAGCATCCATGTTAAGCCAAAGACCATTGACTTTGAGGAAGCCATTGACATATGAGGAAAAAACACAGAGAAGGTAGAGATGGTTCAAAAGTCATTTTATAGTTAAGAGACATCGCGAAACTCAAGCTTCAATGCATGTGATGCAATGTGCAAAGAAGAACCAAGTCAAAAGAGTGTCACAACAGTTTAATTAGACGAGGTTGTAATTAAATCAGTTGTTATCAATATCCCATATTAATATATAAACAAAACATATAAAACTCTTCAAATTATGCATTAAAAATAGCGAGAGAGACGAAGATACTCACATGGTTATCCTCTAATTAAGGAGTTGAAAAATACATTTAAATTTCCTCGAAGAGCTTAATTTAAGCTCCATGAGAACCTTCTCCCGCAGCTGAACAGAGCCATTTATAGGTCCTTCTGAAAAAAATTACGGTCCTCGATTGAGATTTCATCTGGGAAAGTGAATACAAGCATTAGCGATGGATTCCAGAAACCTTGAAGATTCTCGTTGCGCCACTATTAAATAACAAACTAATACGATGTTGTTTTGTATCTTCTTCTCCCTTTCTCTTCTAATTCCAGCGATTCCTCGATTATTCCTCAGAGATCGCCGGAGCAGCTTAAATCGATCAGATTCTCTGGGTTTTAAACTGATTTATTATCTCTCGCTCTGGTTTTTTTTTTCCAGGTGGGAAAAATTCGTGAGATTACTGGGTTTCAGCTGCTTCTCGAGAATCTGCAATCTCTTGCGGAGGGCAAAGGTTTCTCCACCGGCGTACAATACTAGACTCTGTCGCACGATTTCACCGGAAAGAAATTGCTGGTCGTATTGGTTTGTTTTTTATAATGGCTATGCGGTTATATAAATAATCTAACGTTGCAACACAATACTGAAAAATTGATTTGGTCTGGTGGTTTCTGTACTTCTTTGCTATGAGAGTGGTACAAGGTTCGACGCCTCAAGCCCGCATAATTTTGTTTTTTTAACACACAAAACGACATTCGGCCGCTTTCCCGAGTTTTGAGCTTACTAAAAACATGCCAAAAGCAGCAAGCCCATCGTGCTTATTTTTAGTTTCACGCAGCCCAACAAAGGCCCAATGTATGATGGTTGCTTTGTTTGAGTGATTTGTGTGAGTGAATTATTTGTGATTTATCATTTTGTCATAGCAACCATCATGAAGAAGAGACAGTTGTTTCAAATTTGTTGCGTGCTCTAATTGGAATATAAAAAAAAAATGAAATAATTGAATGAACATCATCATCATCTTGATTTTTTTTTTAATTGAAAATTTGATTTTTGACCAGTTGTTACCATCCCATTAACTTTTAATTACACAAGCAAGTAATAATACTAAAGGAAAAGGTGTTCCATTATAAATGGTGGAAATTTCCTATTCGGGCAACCAACCCGATTCTTCTTGATAATTCTTATGGCTCTGATTGGTTCCATACTAACGTGGCGTTTGGTTGCATATTTTGTTCTATCATTTCCTAGTGGAACACACACAGAAAACAGTTGTAAGAAATTCCCATATCCCTAAACCTTACTTCTCAATTCTATAAAAATGAAGAAGACATTGCAAGAAACAACACAAAACAAAACAAAGAAAGATGCAAATTCAGACAAGGCCTGTCCTAGTGGTGGTGGTTGTGGTAATAATGGTGGTTATGAACTCTTTCACCGTGAACGGAGGAGGAAGAGGGATATACAGCAAAGACCAGAGGCTTCACCATGTTCAAAAGGACAAATCCGTCATTTCATCAGCAAGAGGAGTAGACAATCACCATAACATTCCGAGGCAAAACTATGGCAATTGGGGTGAAAACGGTGGTGGTGAAGACGGGACCGGTTAGCATCAGAAATACATAGGTATATATATAAGACATGACTTAGAGACAAGGAAGCTCCTAAGACATGTATGTATGTCACTATGTTTGTATGTATATGTAAAGGGTCTGACGTTATTTATGGCTTGTGTTTTGTGCTTTGTGTGATGTCTCCCAAATATTTATTTGATTTATGGCTTGTGTTTTGTGCTCTATAAACTCATAACAAGTGAGACTATAAACAGAACGTATTGATTAGTTGCCAGTTGTAATTAGTCCCTTTACAGTTTGATATACGTTGCCAAATTCTGGTGCAGTAGCTACGAGCTGCTTTAGATTATCAGCAAAGCTTATTCTCTTTTTACTTTCAAATGCTTGAGGTTCTAGATTAATCATGAACAATACTCATCTTTCGAGTAGAACGAATTAAACCGAAAATTAAATTAAACCGGATTCCTTCAACAGATGCTTGACGGGCATATTTTCAGAGTAGTCGTTTCTTCGGTTACTAACTGATTGATCAATCATACTAAAGAATACTACGTATCGGTGTTCTTGAGACTAAAAGTCTAAATCTGTCCATCGGGTCAAACCCACTCGAGTTGGGCTATTAACAAGCCATTACGAAGCTTATTTTCTACCAGTCACTTTACAAGCCCATCATCTCGCTCACTGAAACAGACTAATCGTGGACATAATATGAATTTAGTGTCCGAAAGCAAGGACTAATCACTTAAAGCATTATAAGAGAATGAGCTAATCGTTGTTCATCTCAAAGTCATATTCTAGAATTCAGTTCGTTTTCTTATCTTCTGACACTTCAATTTCGTGTTAATTAACGAGAATTTTAGCCCCAAAATCAAATATTTAACATACCGGAATCTAGCATCAACAAAATCTACATCCTTTCTCTTTATCTCTATCATTTTCAAAATTGAGATTTATACTTACAAATATTGCACGTAGTTCTTTTTCTGCAAAACACAATCAAATATATATCTTCTTTCACGTCTGCAATTTTTTCACCACCTTAGATCTTCTTGATATCTTTTAGTTTGTTCTTCTTAGATTTATTTTTTCCTTATTGTTGGTTCGATTTTCCAACACATAAATTTCCTAATATCTTTTTTTCTACAACACATAAATTTTCTTGTAAACCGCATAATTCTAAACGCAAGAAACGGCATCTCTTTTAATTGAAGATCGAGACAGATGATCACGTATGTATGACCAAAAATTAAATTACTCCCAAACTATTTTGAAATCTCTCTTATACAGTTAGTGACAACACAAAGAAAAAGATGAAACAAGAATTCTAAGTGTTGTTACTTCAATAGGGTCATGTGTGAAGGAAGCGTACAATCAATTTTGATACGTAAACTTCAAAAAGTGTGGTTTACGTCGTACGAACCTAATGAGCTGCCACGATGACCAGGTATTACCGATGTGGGGTCTGGTCTACGCAGACCGACCATTCACATTTTAGATATTCACCAAAGATCTACCAATAAGTACGTCAAAATTAAATTAAATGTTTGACTAAGAATAAAGAAAATATTTAATAGAGAACATCGGGTCCTAGTCTACTCTGTATGTGGTTATGTCTCTTAAGATTGCACACATGCTAGTTTATAAAGTATGAGACGGAATTGAATATGCTATGTTTACAGCTCGAACTTTTAGTATAATTCTTGAAATATCTAGTCACCAATGTTAGCCTTATTTAGTTCACACATTTTAATGTACTATTAAGAAAATCAAAATCATGAATGTTAAGTATGTTGTTTTTTCGAACCCAAAACCAGTATTTGATAATAGAACATTGTAACTGGTACAAGTCATCGATCTTTAACATAAAAACAAATGTGAAAATGTAAACTTGTGTCAGCCGATCTTGACATTTGTTGATATATTTTTAGATTATGGACCAACCTTTATTTAAAAAAGTAGTTTGCTATTTCGTGAAATTTGTAAGATTTAGCAGTTGTCCATAAGTTCATATGCGTTTCTTCAACCTTTCTTCACTTAAGAAAAAAAAATCTCTCCTGAAATATGTAATCAAGGTCTTAAACTTCCTCACACTAGTCTATTTATTTCTAATTAGAATGCATAGTAATTACATATCAGTACATACATATTAATAAACATTAAAACAAACACTATAATTTCGTTTTTTTCTACGTCTTCACTCAATCTAGGGATCTCTTTAAAAAACTAAACAATTCACTGGTAGAGCCACAGAACACAAATGTATATATATATAGGACATTAATATTATTATTTTCTAGAATGCATAATAATATTACATAGTAACGCTACGTATTTCTAGAAAACGAAAACATGTCACTTATCAATCATTAATCGTACCAAAGCCAATAAACCTTCTTTCTCTAATTCATTCGCTCCATCCATATATTTGACTGAACTCTCCCTCTTCCTTCCTCTCTTTACATCTCTACTACAAAAATTTAGAAGCAGAAACCATAACAATACGCTACACTTTTCCAACGAAAGATACAAATTTATTTCTTGTAGTGTTGGGCTCATCAAGAAAGAGAAGTTTAAGTAATGAAAGAAGAGAACAGCACGGGCGGGACATGCGAGCCGTGCAAGACGTTCGGAGAGAAGTGTAGCCACGTGGTGAAGAAACAGCGAGCCAAGTTTTACATCCTTGGCCGTTGTATCGCCATGTTAGTTTGCGGCCGTGAGCGTGACCGCGACCGCGACCGTGTTTCGATTTAGACTTCTACCTTCTTTTTCTCTCTTCTTGTCTTTCTTCAATTTTCTCTTCTTTTTATTTTGGGGGTTGCCACTTTCATTTTTTGGCTCTAGTATCATGTATCAAACATTTGAACTAGGGTTGATATTTAAGTTATATATACACATGAAAATATGAATTGATGTAATCCATTCGTAGAAATGCTTAATTATTTTTTGATTTATGTCTTTGGTTTGACTTTTGAATGGTAGCTTCTGAATAAGTTTTAGTTGTTCAAGTAATTAATCATTTACACTCTTTTTTCCTAAGCCTTTGGCCCTGGAAAGATCTTCAGTTTACTTGGAATAATGTATACGAAACCATATGGTATTTTAGAACTACTCTGACCATGCATATTGATCCCTCTCAAATGCTCCCTGTCATGATTCATGAATCATATCATATGAATAATAGAAGAGCAAAAAAGCTTGTAGATTGTATTTTTGAATTGATTATAGACAGTATATCTTATGTAAAGAAATTATATTTTGAAAACATCATAGATATTGAGGTCAGAGGTTGAATGTCAGTCAACTTTCTATCAACAGTAGTATATTAGCTTAGATTTTAGATATTATAAAACATAGTAGATGTTTTTGAGAAGAAATTTAATCACATTGAATATGCAATAAGGAAAATAACTTAGTGAAACAATGCCCAAGAAAAGCCAAAAAAAAAGTGAGCGAGAGAAAAAGGCGAAGAAGAGATCGAAAGTAATAATGACAATTATTGACAAGTCTACGGCCTAAGAGACCATGTGACTCGAGGCAAAGCGAGACTATGTATGCTCTATTTTCTTTTCTATTTTATCGGTTTAGGGTTTAGTAAAAAGAAAAGCACAAGAAGAAGAGATTGTTGAATTCAGGATCCGCACCATCCAGGACACAAGTGAAAATAACAGTAACTCCCCATAATAGGACATACGTAGTATTTTTCTTTCCATTTTATACTAATGCCTATGTTTTTTCTTTTATGGATACTTAAACAGAAAAAGTAGTCAAATTTTTTTATGAATTGATTCATCGTAGAAATTATATTCATTAGATTATATAAAATGTAAAGACATAAAGGGTACGATATCAGTGTTTTCAGTTTCATTCGCACGTCCCAAAAATATAGTTATATATAGTACAGCAGATATGGGACCTTGATATATACGTAGAAAATTTTCCAATATGTACAGTTATGTTTTGACCAATGTAGTCCACTGTTATTGTGATTAAAACCAATGTAGTCAATGTAACCACTTACCACTACTTAAGAGAAATACGACCCAAGACTAGCTAGTAAACTATAGTAACAATTAAGATTATGTAACGTAAAAAAAACAAACAAACAAACTAAAACGAATTTAACGTCACGTGCTGCTTTTGCTCCAAGTCTCGAACATTTCCGACACGCCGCGACCGCTGATTAAAACATTTTTAAGTATTAAACTAAGAAAATTAGTGATGGATACATGTCGGATACTCTAGAAACTTAACAACATAACTGATTATTCGAAATTGACCGTATGCTGAATCTTAATATTTATGTCCGATTTGAATATTTGGATCGTGAGTAGTACATATGTAGAAAACCAAATGTAGGTGGAAATTTTAGAGCCGACAATGGGAATCCTCGAGGGAAAAATTATTTTTTCAAATAGCAGGATTAAAAGGTGTCATATACACTCGTGCGGTCCCTCCTCGTTACCATTTTTCATCGTTTTTCAGCTGTTTAATTATCTCTACAGACTCGGAACATTGTTTTCTCAAGCTATTTTTCTTTTTAAAAAACATAATTCCATTATTTAATGATACTGCCAGAGTTGAGAGCGTGACTTTGTTTACTTTTTTGAAAAAAAAAAATATATGAGAATTGATTTGTACAAGTAAAAGTCAGCATCATTGACGAAAGATGCAAGAAAAACATCGATGGACTCATTATTATTGTCCCGATAATATGTAAGGTATACTTGTATGATTGTGAATCGGTGGAGAGTTTGGTTGTTTCCTTTATCTTATTTTTTGGTGATAAAAATTCTATTGTATATATGTCTTCCACTAACTGCGAATCGGTGGAGAGTTTTGTTGTTTTGCTTCTTCTTCTTTTTAACGTTACCACAAAACTAGGGAGAAAAGGGAAGATATCTATGTACGACAGAGCTTTGTTGTCTTGCAAATCATATCCCATTACTACATAATATTTAGGGAATAAATTAAAGATCAAAGATAGTAGTTGATACTACGTATTCGACGTTAAAATGTCTATTATTATATTCAAGGAGAGGTTACATTGGATAAAAAGTCCTAGGATTTTATTTTCTTTTGGTCGAAAAGTCCTAGGCTTTTAGCTACATTGCTTCACCACAGTGGTCAGTGTATATAGTTGCGACTATGTACTACAGTCCTAAGTCTGATCAATATATCATGTTATTTCAAGTAGCTAGGTTAAAGAGAGACAATTTTCGTCTTCAATACACTTAATGGGTAATTGAATGTAGAAAAGTTTCTTATAAACTTTCACAATTTTCACATAAAACAGCTATTAATCTAACACTATTGACATAAATACATGACTACATTTATATTCATAATTTCATATGTTTTATAATGAAAAAGGTATTAGCAACTATATTTTGGTCAATATTTTTTTTAAAAAAAATATAAATGTATAATATGCTAATTGTGATATTTATCAATAATTTTCTTTAAGAAACATACTTCATGTTTATAAACATACTTCATGTTTATAAACATACTTCATGTTTATAAACATACTTCATGTTTATAAACATACTTCATGTTTATAAACATACTTCATGTTTATATATTACAGAAATATGAAAATTGTTCATTACTCCATTTCTATTTGGTTTGTTCAAAATATAATAAGTAGGGTTATGTAGTGTTCGCATGTGTAATGTTTTCTGGATTAGATACCCTGAAGTCTTAACAGAAGTCAAAGAATAATAAAAAGAGAAGATCATTAGATTATAAAAGATAAGAAAGAGATGAGAAGTATTGGACCCATTGGGGATGGAAAGAAGAGAAAACACGTGCACCTCTCTGACAAACGTTGAAACCCAAACACTATTCTCCGTTTCCACTTTCCAGCTTTCTCTAAATACTTTCAATTTAGACAATTTTTCCTTTTTTCTTATTACCTCAGTAGATTATAATTTTTTACACCAGTTATTATCTTATTTATACTCAATACATGTAATTGGAATATTTTTATATTTTGCATCGATTAATTATTTAATTTATTTTTCACTTAAAATTTTCCGTTATTGTTAAATATCTAATTTAATCATGATACAAACTACAAAGGATAGATAAATACATAAAGGTTTATATGCTCTCGTGTGAGTTTCTGAACTAGACCCCCCACGTGGCGTTGTCTGTTTGTAGCAGTCTTTGTAGACTTCCCACGTGCGGGCGTGTGTAGATTCTCCAAGAAAGCGGGCCAACCCCAAGACCGTCTCTTTTGCCTTTGAAACATCTTTCATTGAGAAGTATACATCACATGTTCGAATAAAAAATTACTATTCTAATTTGAAAATTAGTTTTTTTTTGTTTTATGGGTAATAAGAACTCGTTAAACTGCATCAGAATTCTGCCATGTTACCAATCGAAACTGTCATGCGAGCTAATTTGATTCATACAAGTAATTTGTATAACTAGGATATTAAATACTAAATACATATAATATTTGGTACTAGCGAAAGTGCGAAACGTTCATATTTCGTAACAGAGTTGATGATTTGATGGTCGAGATGAAAATACATTTCTCTTACTTAAGTAATCGTATATTTAAGGCCGATTACTTGGCTGAATAAGTGTCATTTTAACGTTTAGATTATTTAGAACAATGGTTCGAAATGACTAATCTTTATCCCGGATATAATTACATATGTAAATATCATTTGTGTTGTTCATTGACTATCCATTTATATTCTACAAAAAACAAAATAGTGATTTACGCTCAAGCCATTGTTCTGAATATTAAGAAAATGTTATAAAATGTTTTCTAAACTGTTATGAAGCTACGTGATATTTATGAATTCTTATAACTAAAAAATTTGGTATATGTGATACAATCTATGAAGAATAACAAAAGAAGTGTCGGGAAATTGCACATTTTATTCCTCATCTATTTGCAATCGACATAAATAATCCCCAATTATCATGATTGTAAAAAAATTCCTCAACTCAACGTTGATTATGCAAAATTAAGACTAATATAGTCAACCGTTAACTGAAAAAACAAAAGACGTTACATTAAATCTCGTTAACTTTTTATGAGTCTAATTTCACAGAGTTAATATAAAGTTGAGGAATTAATTTGCCAAATTAAAAATTAAGGAATTAATCTGTAAAATTATAAAACTTGAGGAATTAAATGAACTAATATTTAAAAATATACACATAACTGTTAAGAAAATTATTACATAGCACTAAAAACTATTGAATGTGCAAAAAATCAAATAAACTATATATAGTTCTGATCTAATAAAAATGGTAGTTCAAGTTGAGAAAAAATGTAGCATTTTGCAAAAAAAAAAATTATGTGGTAACAAACAGGTAAATTCTATTTTTTAAAACAATTTAGTTCTGATCTATTTTCAAAATAATTAATACAAAAGAAAAGAACAAAATTTAGATAACATAAAAAGATAAGAAGAATATTAGAAATTAATTTAACAAACGTATATATTTCTAGTTTTTTTTGTAGCTCTTAGAAGGTACTCATGTGCTACAAACCAGAGTTTTATAATTATAAAACAATATTTTACGATATAATTTTATAGGCAAAAATTATTGATCTAAAATAAAAATGTGACTCACTAGAAATGAAAAAAAAGTAGTTGATCTTAAGTGATGACCTATCCCACATTCTCTACGACTTGAATCTGACTATATAAATCTATAAAAATACAATGGTAAGATCCAAGTAATTTAGGCTTTCATGCATGAACAATAGAGACTCAACTAAGATTACTTTATTAATAACATCAAATACAAAAAAAAAGTTTCTGTAACTGTAAAAACTTATTGGTTAAGTTCTTATATATTTTTATATAATTGTTTTGATTTTTTCTGTTTTCAAATTTAATAGTTTTTAATGTTAAAAGAAAATTAAAATTGTTATGAACAAACAATTTAATAATTTTTTCACATTCAATAGTTCTTAGTGCTACGTAATAATTTTCACCGTTTTTATGAATAAGCTTTAACAATTATGTGTATATTTTTAAATTTCAGTTTATTTAATTTCTCAAGTTTTATAATTTTACAGATTAATTCTTCAACTTTTAATTTGGCAAATTAATTCCTCAACTTTATATTAACTCTACGAAATTAGACTCATAAAAAGTTAGCAAGATTTAATGTAACGTTTTACGTTTTCTCAGTTAACGGTTGACTATATTTAATCTTAATTTTGTGTGGTCAACGTTAAGTTAATGAATTTTTTTGCAATCACGATCATTGAGGATTATTTATGCCAATTGCAAATAGTTGAGGAATAAAATGTGCAATTTCCCAAGAAGTGTCTGCTCATTTTCTCTCAGTTTCCAAAAATAGACTAATTAAAGCTTAACCGTTGTTCTATCTGTAATACAAAGTTCAACAGATTCAACATGAAGGCTTTTAACTTCATATTTGAAATAATTTAAAGAGTCCAAATCTCATTCAATCATATTGAGGAGATTTTTTTTGAGATGGATTCTAGCTAGAGATGAGCACAAATATTCGTTTGCTAAAATGGACCAGGCAGGTCCGACTCTCTTTTCTTTGTTTTTCTTGTTGACAAAATGAAAATGGACCAGTCTGACAAAAACCTAATTCGACGGAAAATCGTGCTCTTCCAACATATTAATCTACGGTTTACCCACGACAATTTTTTTTTTTAACCTCTTCTCCATTTTTTTGTTTAAAAAAAAATATTGGATAAAGAATCGACACAGACCTCGAATGCATACCGGCCCAACTAAATATACAATCATATATGATTATTAGGACTTTAGGAGTAAGAGTATCTACCTTGTAGAATTATTAGGAGCAGAAATTTGCAGGTTGGTAACTCACTTCTTCATGGGATGGATTGGAACTGTGATTTTAGAAGTCCATATTAGGTAAATAATGCTAAGTCCTTTAACATTAGAATCCCATTTCTCTAGCTCACCGAAGAAAAGAACACAAGGAGCAGATTGGCGTGCCTTTTCAAATATCTTTCTCACATTCGCTGCAGTCTCTCCAAACCACATTGTGAGGAGCTCAGAACCTTTGATACTGATGAAGTTGGATTGACACTCGTTCGTGATAGCCTTAGCCAAGAGGGCCTTTCCACAACCAAGAGGACCATAGAAAAGGACTTATTTAGATGGCCAACATAGAAAAGAAAAAGACTCCAACTATTACAAAAACACAATAACCATATTTACTACTGAATCTAAGCCCTTTATTTTGATCAGATAAAAAGGGTGATCAGAAATAAACATTCCATTCCTGGTCTCCTTCCCACGTCAAGGAACCTCAAGAGTAGGTACTTGGGTCAGTCTAGAATAGACACATTCTAAAATTTTATAGCTCAGAGACAAAGATTCAAGTTACAGTACTCGAAGATCTCAAACCATTATTGGATTGAACCTTTTGATTTTGTAACAAGGAATCCATATTTTGGCTGGAATTTATCCTCCAAAGTGAAATGATATATATCTATCCATGTTTTTTATTTGTTTAAATATTTCTATGGTATTACAAGAATCTACCAATTATGTAGCAAGCAAAAGGGTTGCAGACTCATCCAGCAGACTCATCCAGACAAGTGTGGAGAAGCCGGATAACTTTCTGTATCATTTAGTGCGTTTTACAAAAAGGAAATGCAGAATTCATAATTTGAATTTCAGGAGTGAAGCCAAAGACGATCGTGAAGCCTCTCTTCACCAGCTCCAAACATCTCGTCGACTTTTTCGCCGTTTCTGTAAAACTGAAACGTTGGAGTGTAACGGATGTGCCGGGTGGTTTCTGGGCACTCGTCGATATCTGCATAAACAAACTTAAGCCCTTGGAAACTGTTGCTAAGCTCTTGGAACGCAGGGAGAATCTGGCTACAAACTCCACACCTGAAAAGTTTATTCGTTTCAATTTCAAAAACGCTGAAATCTCAAAAAAAACCTTATAAAAAACATTCTCATTGAGGCATTCCATCAAACACTTTGTAAGCATGAAATATGTCTTTTTGTGATAAACAGAGACCAAGCCTTACCACGAAGCTCCGTAATTAATAACAGCCTGAAAATCACAAAACAGAAAAAAAGAACAATCAGATTACGAAGAATCAAAGCTTGGGTCTTAACGTGTGTAATGTATAGCTGGTGCTTGTAATAACCGGAGATTTTGAAGATCTGATGTTGTCAAGAATAGTGACAAGACTTTGGTCGCTTGCTGCGATCTTCAAATTGCCATTACTATTCGATTTGGATTCCAAATCCGGACTTGCTCCCTCCGATTCTTGCTTTCTCATTTTTGTTTTTGTTTTGTTTGGTTGGTTTCGAAATTGGCCAATTTTTGATCCTTTTCGCGAACATAACCTTCTCCTAATCGAACCACAAGTCTACTTACCACTGCCCAAACCCAAACCAATCGATTTGAACCTAAACCGGTTTTAACCAAGCCAATTTCAACATCGACATATCTCGGTGTACTTGTATAGCTTTCGTGAATCTTTATATTATTTTTGGTCTGCATTTCACAGCTTTTCAATGTTTTTAATTAAAGTTAGATGCGTCGAATTTAATCTCTCTTTGGTACCAAAATGAGTTGAGGATTTAAGCTAATAAGATTTCAAGAATTAAATTAAACTTAAGAATGCTACGTTGGCCTACACTTTTGAATGGGTGGAGAGAAGATACAGAAAGATCTGGTTTTATCTTATTATCTCAATCCCATCATTTAAATACTTCATCTTCTTTTTATACCCCCTAAGAAATTGAATTCGCAATTGGATACTTAAATAAATGAATTGATCTTCTAAGATGATGTAATTAAGCCATAACCCTGAAGAAAAAAAAAATATTAAATAAAATTTAAAACGTGATGACGATTTTCTAAAGAAGAGATACTTGGAACCTAATCCAAATCTATAATCTATAACTCAAAGATGACCAAGAAAGAAAAACAATTACCTAACTGATGCATGATGTTATTATCCACTAAACCATTTGTGTTCGTCAGCTTTTCGGACATTTTCCAATTTGGGTAAGCTCATGGCTTTACTATTTAAGCAAAGACAAAGCAAGCTTCCAAGTTCAAATCACATATTTATTAAAGAATTTAGTTAAAAAAGAAAGAAAATGGATTGTAAGAAGGAAGAAACACTCCGTAGAGGTCCATGGCTCGAAGAAGAAGATGAACGGCTAGTGAAGTTCGTTACCCTTTTGGGAGAACGTCGTTGGGATTCTTTAGCAAGTGTTTCCGGTACACTTTTAAACCTTCCTTGTGTCACTTTCCAAAAATAGAAAGTTTACATATGTTTGTGTTTGTTTTGTTCGAACTTAGGCTTGAAGAGGAGTGGTAAAAGTTGCAGGCTAAGGTGGATGAACTATCTGAACCCGAGTCTGAAGCGTGGACCAATGAGCCAAGAAGAAAAAATGATAATCTTTGAGCTCCATGCTCTATGGGGGAACAAGTAAGAGACCAAGCTGAAAAAAAAAACCTAATTAAATCTTGAATCTTTTACTTCAATGATTGTATCAGTTTGAACTAAATATTGTATATCAACAGGTGGTCAAAGATTGCAAGAAGATTACCTGGTAGGACTGATAACGAGATTAAAAACTATTGGAGGACTCATTTTAAAAAGAAAGTGGAATCTCAAAACTATGGTAGATATACTAATTTTAATCGATCTTTCATCCTCGCATATGCTAATTTTATAGCAGCATTAAATAAAAAAATGATGTGTTTTGCTGTAGATAAGATCATTGACTGGAGAGGAAATACAGGAGAAGAATTGTGGCGCAAGTATAAGGAAACTGAGATCACGTGGACAAGGACGACGACTCAAGAACATGGTTTTGATGAAACTGTGAAGGAATCTAAGCAGAGACAAATGGAGAGTGATAAAGAAACCGATGGTGGTATTTGCGAAGGAGAGAGCTTCGGTGTTATGAATTCACCATATGAAAACCGGATTTCTGATTGGATATCAGAAATTTCTACAGACCAAAGTGACGCAAATCTCTTAGAGGACCATAGCAGCAGTAGCAGTGAGAGCAATACTAATATTAACGTTGGTTCTTGGTGGTTTCAAGAGACAAAGGACTTTGAAGAGTTTTCATGTTATCTATGGTCATAATTTTAGTGTTTGTTTCTCGATTATATGATGAAAACGTCTTTAAACTGTTGCTGTTGATATTTCTCTTTCTTGACTGATCATATAATTGGATTATTTTTCTTACTGTTTAACTCTTGGATTAAATGTGGTATAGTGAACAGAATATTTCCAATTTCCAAACTTACTATGCGTCAATTATGTAGAATTTCAACTCAATTTAAGTCTTCTTTCAGCATGAAATTTAAATCGGAAGTTAAAGTTCCAATTAATTATGCAATGTACTGTACTCAGCAAATTTGTTAGTAATCACAGGAAATTTAGAAAAACATGAAGGTAACATAACATATCCATCATACCCAAACAAATAAAAATGTAGCGCTGATGTGTACTGTCAGGTCTTGTTGTGTACAAGAACAAAATCAGGAAGGTCATGCGCCAATAAATGAAAAACTAATAGTTTTTGGGTCAACATTATAACATTATTGGTTGATGCCTTGATGGGCTCAATCTTTAAACTGAATTAAATTAGTTGTTTTGTGTACTTTTGTGCCAAATGATTTGTTAAAAATGTTAAGTATTTTATTTCTTTAGGGAAAAAAGTAGTATTCAGTGTTCAATATAGTAAATTACAATATCCTAAAGTAATATACTTATATAGTTATATAGTATGAAATGTAGATGCATGTATGGAATGCCCTCTTGTAATAAAATTATGAAAAAACAAAAGGAAGAAGATAATATAATCTTATTAGTTATTAGTTATGTAACTAAAGATAGGATACGGCTACAACAACGTCACGGACTCACGTTTACATATATTTACACAATATGACTCACTGACCAAAAAGAAAAGTATAATGTCCAAAAATCTCAGATTAATTGATGATACAGATTGTGTGATTGCTCAGGACAATCATATGTAATTGACAGAGCTGAATTTACCACAATTGTTATATTTTCAAGGAAACATAGACCATAGAGGAGGACTACACAAGAATGAGTTTGGAAACAATCTTTTTCTTGTACCTTGATTAAATAGGTAAACTCATGTTACAACAACCTGAACATATGGGTTGAAGAAGTGAACATGACCAGAGATGATATCAAATTGAGCATGAAAGCTAAAACAAGAACCGAAAAAGATAACCGGTTAGTTGAACCGGTACCAGACATTTCGTCGGTATAGTCATTATAAGAATCTAAACCGCCATTACCATTGGATCCAGTAGTAGTCCACATCCCAAGATTGTTATTCCTGCACCAATCAAAACACCCAAGATTTAGCTATATATTTGACTTTTTAGGCTTAAATAAGCGATGATTATGAAATAGTGGGGGTGAAAAGAAATTAGACAAAAGAAAAAGGATAAAGTTCCTAAAGTTAAAGGCAAAAGTAGTAGAAAACAAAATAATTCAAACAAAAAGAGAGTACATAGACATAAAAATATAATACTACGTTTTTATATGGTGTATTAGTAAAAAGAAGATTCAAAGTGTTTTTATTTTGTTTGTTGCTTAATAATAGTCAGTTTCTTTTGGGTAAGAATGTAGAAAGCAAACCTGCCACCAACGCCGAGAACGCCGGAATGAAAAGTGATTTGGTCGATGAAAGAGGCTGATTTAGGCTCGACGCTATAAGCCTTCTCGTACCTCATTTCAGCACCTTCTCCAGACGCCACGAAGAAGGCTCCGTTCACCAAAATGTCTCCCTCCGATCTCCAGTTCCATCCTTTCCAATCTCCATCTGGAGTTTCTACTCTTTTTGTCACCTACACATTAATATTCCTTTCGCGTGTTCTTAAACATGAATGTTTTACACGTATGAAAATATACTCAAAAATATCAAATCTATTCCCTTTGGTAGTTCATTTACTACTTTTGAAGATTAGATTATTACTAACAATAGTAATTAGATAGGGAAATATTCCAACACATCTACTTAATGAAAAACCAAAGCAATCTTTAGTTGTATCGTGCTAGTTTTCAAATGACCAAAGATGGACTAACCAACAATGTTGAATAATTTGGGTTTAGTTATGTTTACCTCTTTGGCAAACGGGTTGGTTGGGGCGGTATAGCGATTACCCTGGCTATTAATAGTCGGGTTACCACTACCTCCAATCGCATACATTTCCCATTGTGTAAAATCGTTATTAACCACATGGATATATCCACGTCGACACCTTGGCATCCTTTGTATCAATTTCTCTCCAAAGTGATTAAACGCAATAGTTACCTGATAAAAATTACATACATTCATTTTATAATCGAAGAATCTCTAAATAGTGATTAGAACAGGGATTTTATATGGACTAGTGTATGTGACCTGCATGCCACTGTCTGGCTCGTAGTGGTCGCTGTGACCAAGAAGCATGACTTCGTTGTGGTGAGAAAAGAAGTTGTTCGATATTGTGATCCCTGTGGACCCCATCACAGCATCTATCAGACCGTCCTTACATCTTGATAGAGAACAATGGTCGATCCATATGTCCTTTGATCCGAATATGGAGATACCATCACCGTCCGATTTCGTTCTGTACCCGTAGTGCGTTGGACTTGACCGCACGTTAGTATTCCCTAGCGAAAGCGTGCACAAACAGTTTTCAGAACGCTTTTCATGAATAATTAACCAAATTACTGCTAGTAATACATTTCGTTCCAAAGAAAAATTTACTTTTTTACTTTTGTAACCATGCATTTATGAATATTCAATAATTGCTGGGACTTTAAAATACATTTTGTTTGTTTTCTTCTTTTATTTACGTGTGAAAACACCAATGAATGATAAGAAAAATATGTATACCAAAAGGGACCTACTAAAATATTCGGGTCAGGGCAATAATTATCTTTGTAAAGAAAATAGAAGGTACAAAAAAACATTTATTGGGCGTAATAAAAGAGTAAAAATTACCGGATTGGTAACAATGGTGGATATGAATATTGTGAATGATGACATTGGAGACATACTGAAGAGTGATGCAACCACCACCAACGATATGAACATTGGCTCCTCTTCCATCAAGTGTCTTGTAGCTATTGAATATTAGCTCTTGCTTTAGTTTAATCATCATGTTGCTCGGGAACACTATCCACAATGGCTCTACTTGTATCACTCCGTATCTGTCACCACATTTTTGCAGTTCGTTATAAGCATTTTCACATTGTAAACCCGATTCCTTTGACATTGATAAAGATTCCCTAGATTATTCCAATTTTTTGGAGGTCCCAATACACTTGTTTTTATTATAGTTTTTTATTCTTTAAAATTTATTTTTTTTTATTTTTTTTGTTAAAGAGTTGGACCAAATTGATTAGTATTTTTTTTGTTTTCCTATTTTTGGAATTGGTATAAGCTCCCAAATATTTTAGAACTGGTCTTGCATGCGAGGCTCTCTACCTACTTTAGTTATTTAACATGTGAACCGTGGTGGGACACTTCCAAGGGACAATTCTGAAAATATAATCTATGGACGTCAAATGGAAGACTTCAACATTATATTTCCATGTTTTAAAACGGATTAATCGAACATAGAGTCTTTTCAAAGGTTTAAAATATTTTGAGGGTCATTGTAATTAGAGGAAGTTTTGGGGTCTTCGGGAATTTTATTCCGAAAATGGAGGGCTTAACTGTAAATTTCCATGTCTAGAAATATAAACAAGTGGTGTTGAAAAAGTCGTACGTAATAGATTGGTGTGGGGCATGTGATTGAGAGATGACAAAAAAGAGACAGAGAGAGAAAAAAAAGTTATTGTGGATTAGATAAACGGAGCTTAGGCATAATCTTATTTCATATACGATTTTAATTTAATTATGAAAGTGTATAGGGTTAAACCAATGATGACATGTAACGTTCAATTAAAGTACAGTATATAGTGTTGTTAACTAACGACTTTAAAAAATATACGATGAATAGGTTAAAACGAGTATTAAAGATGATATCTTTGTCTTGAACCAATGCAAAACAACACATTTTTGTCTATTTGTCAAGAACAAGACTTTCTTAGATGAAAATCCGGTTTATTCGGTTAACAAAAAAGGTCAGCATTTAGGTACCTGAGAGTTCCCGGTTTAGGATCGACGACATCATCGTCGGAAGAATCAGTGACGAAGTAAAACCGACCGCCTTTACCTCCCAAGGCGTACTGTCCGAACCCGATTCCGCAATCGGCTAGACCTTGTCGGTTATTGGGCCAGTTTGGGTCGCATTTCCAACAGTCGTCGATTGGGTTTCCGGTGAAGCACTGGCTTGAACCGGCTTGGTCCGTCGTGTCCATAACTTGACGTCTTGATATAGAAGCATTTACTCTCCTATCAACAAAATCAAACCGGATAATTACAGTCGGTACGGTTAAACCGGAGATTAAGAAGGGAAAACAGAGATTACAGAGACAGAGCAAACCAAGATTCACAAGAACACAGGAGAATAGCTAGTCAAATGTAAAACCCAGATGGAAAACTACAGTAAAGAAACTGAAGTAAGGGGAAAATTGCAGATCCAAAAGAGGAAATGTAGTATGTGTACCTATGAACATCAAGAGCGACTAGTTCTGGCTCGGGATGTGGTAAGAGAAGAAGAGTTTTGTTGAGCATGGCGAAACTCATGTGTGGAAGGAACAGAGAAAGAGAGAAAATTACAATGCAGCTTCTTTGAAGCATCATTGTGAGAAAACTGATGATTTTAGGGGTTTGGGGATTTTTTTGGATTTAGGGTTTTGCTTAGTTAAAGGTGAGAGAAGAAGAGAGTTGAGTGAGACATGGCTTGCTCTTCTCCTCTGTTAACTGACCAGTGTTCGTGAGAGTGGCTTTTGAGAGTGTGGTTTTGCTTTTGCAATAATGGCTTTCTTGGCTTTTGTATTTTTTATTTTTTTGTATGGTTCTTTTGGAAGAGGAGAGAGAGAGGGTTGTTTTTCCACTGACAGTCTCGAGGATTGAGAATCTGCTTGTCTCGAGGAAACGGTCTACAATTTTTCCTTTGAAGCTCCTTTTTATATGAATTGTAATATCAAACTTAGGTAATTAT